GCAATGTGGACAATGCAGCTGTAATAATGGCAAGTGTGCCCTTATCACAGCAAGAAAAATGTAAGGAGTTCTGATTTTGCACTGAATGAGCCATTACTTATGTCTATCACAAAGAAATAAGAGTACTGAACAAAAAAAGATACATTAAGGCTTTTTTTTTTTTTCTCCAAAAGAAAACTAAAAATAAAAAAGATCAGATGTGACTCAGGCTTTCAAACAATAAAAATAGCAAGATGAAAGAACTAGGTTGCTTCATTGCCTAAAGAAATGGCTAGAATCTTAAAAAGTCTGAAACCTGATTGTGAGAGACTCACTTTATGGGCTGCTAAGAAGGTGCTGACCTTCGTCATCAATAGATTGTCTGAGCCTTTGTGGTATTCAGCAGTAAAGGAAGTGCTTAAAAAGTCATCCTGCTGAAAGATGGACTGAAAAAATCTCCGGTTCAGATCTCAGCATAGCTGTTGTCAGTGCACATGCTCATTCAGAAAGTCTGTCTGTAAATCTAATACAGATAAATCTTGCTTCATTTCTAAGTGATAAAACTGGAGCATCCTCACCTTAGAGATGGATCAGGATATCTGGAATTCAATTTAAGTGAAATTATTATAGAGGAGGGCAACTAATGACCTATCTGTTGTGGGGCTTTGGATGTGTTTTGTTATAGTACTATATTTTTCTGTCTGTACTAAAGGACATTGAAGAAGTGGGATAACACTTGTACAAGTACCAGTGGTATAATTTTCTTATGCTTGTTCCATAGTTTTGGATGCATTTTTGCCTCTTCCAACATTTGCACTGAAATGAACTGTAGCAGATGACTGCCCTGTGATTTCAAGTGGTCTTCTGGGAGAAAAAGACTATTACGGATAAAAGAGTTCAGTTCCTATAACTTTCTGGAAAAGTCTCATCACTGTCTTAGTAGTCCACTGATACGGCAGTTGTCATTACAAGTATCTTCTGTAACATGAATTAGCCCAGGTGGGGAACCAGGCTAGGACAACTGCACTGCTGCTGGTACTCATGTGAGCTCACTGAAAGACACACAGGATGTCTTTGCACAAAACATGTGCTGCAGACAGTCGTGCCCTGGCTGAAAAATATTGTGATGGTATCCTCTAGAAACTGTACATCATCGAACGGTCACAGCAGAGAGCACAAAATGCTGATGATCACTAATGACTTCTGGGACAGCCGGTGAGGTACAGGCAGCCCATCCTGGCCAAGGCAGCCTGTACCTGGCTGCAGCTGAAGCAAAAACAAAACGAATGACAGCAGAGATTTCTGCCAGTTCTGATACTAGGAGGAGATTATTCCTGTCTCCAGATCTGATGCCTAATCTGTCAAATGCCTTTGTAAGGCATTTATGGGGCACGTTCAACAACAGAGTATGATGGGTCCACTTTGGCTGCTGTCAAACGGCCAGCGTAAGGAACCTAGTTCAGAGTAAAATACATGATCATCAAGTTCCCTTGCTGCATCCTAGCTTCTGTACCATCCACTTAAACTTCCAAACCATGCAAATGTATGGTCCAGTATGCCAACACTGGGGAATATGCGAGCTGGACCACCACTTGCTCCTCAGAGATCCCTCAGTGCTAAAATCCCTCCTGGAGCTTTCTGCTTCCTCTGGACCCTCTGCCTTAAAAAGCAACCATGATCCTCAGAAACAGTGCCTTATGTTGTCAGCTGAAGGATTTCACCAAAATCAGGAAACAGACCTTTTTCTGAAGACCAGCCTCACAGAACTCATATCCGAAAAAGCTATTCATGACAATGCAATTGTCCAGCTTCAAGGCAGCCTATTTCCTTCTGAGAGAACAAATTCCTTTCTCCTACCACTGCACTTAAATCAATGCTGAATGTAAGCCAGGGGTTCAGCCTTGCTATATGCAGATTCAGGAAGACCGTTATATGCAGTCTTCAGTGTTTAGAAAGGTTTTACTTCACAGATATAAGGGCAAAAGCTTTTTTTTTTGGTTGAAATCAAAGTTTAAATTCTGAAGGAAAAAGGGATCATCAAAGAACTGGCAAAGAATTTAACAACTAGGTGCCAGCTGAAGTGCCAGCGTGATTTATCAGCAGGTTCTTCTCTAATCTGATCTGAGATAATAGGAGAAGGTGTTGAAAGCAGAATCAAACTAGATACAGAACAAAAAGCATAAGGAATAGGGTTCACAAGATCATGCACGTAAGGAAGTTTACGTTATCTAGTAGGCAGGCCGCTCTCCCCAAGAAGGTTTCCTCAGCCATATGGGGAAAACAGCAGACAAAACCAGAAGATTTTCAAAGATAAATGTTCTTACATTTTTCCTTTTATATATATTTTTTCGTGTAAGCCTCTCCATTTGAAGCTATATGGTTTCCTCACTGCCAGACCCAACAAAATACGTAGCTGTAGAAGCTGGACAGAGGTCTCCTGGCAAAAATTAAGCCTCAAGTATGCAGAAAGCTGGACTTGCTTGTGACTGAAGAGGGAGATCATTCCTGACAGCTCACAAGTTTAAGTAGTTTCCTTCTGACTACAGCACTAAACTGTCTATCTGCATAGTGATTCATTAGAAGCATTTTACAGTAAACGCTTCCAAAATAAAAAACAGACGTTTTAACAAAAGTCTCAGGAAAATACTTAACTGACAAAGATAATGATTTTCTAAAAGCTTTTCTCTAGAAGTGTTTTCTTTTTATTGAGGCAATGATTAAAGTGAGCCTGCCTGAGTTACAACGTGCCTCCATTGCACAACCCGGTCATGTTAATCAGCTCGAACACCTAAAAACACAATAGGAGCAGTATAAATCCACTTGATACAGCAAAGTTCATTTCAGGTGTTTGTCCACTGGAGAAATGTCCATTAAGTGATTACCTGAACGTATTTCACTGTTTGAGCTCTGCTTTCTTTATTCCATGGCAAATTATTTTGATCTTCTTAAGGCAGTCTCAGAGCAATCAGCTTGGTCCAGACAAATTCACATTCACACTGATATCAGCCCCCCAATCAGATATAGGGCTTTGACTTTGTAAGCTTCCTGGTCAGTAGAAGAGGCCATTAATTGCCCTTGAGGTCTCCATGGTGCAACGTGTCTGCTCAGAGGAAAATTCCTGCAAACTTATATCTGATGTCAGCCCTGAAATCTCATTTTCCAGTGAGCATCCCACCCAAGAGGCTGTGAGAGACCTGCACTGCCCCATAGGCACTGGGATAACCATACACTGCAGGAGGTACATTGCAGGCCCATGTGTGACAGTTGTGCTGGCACGACGTGGCACCAAGATTAACAGGCTCATCCCTCAGCTGGTCCTGGGGCTGGCTGGAGTATCTTTGCTCCACTGCACAGTGGAGATAAATCATAATTCCCTAAATTACTTGGTGCTGAAGCCAGCACTGGAAAATGAGGCTTCCAATCTTTAGGCTGTGCTATGGTTTGTTTTAAAAAGGGATTGAGTGTCTAACAAACAGGTAAAATTGCTGCCAGATGCAAGTACATTAGCCTTTTCCAGCTGCTTTACTGCTGCCATTCAAAATAGTTTGCTATAAATATGATTCCTTTGAGCTCTATTCTGACAAGTGCAGAGCACTATCTGAGAAGGGCCGCTGGTTTTCCATCCCCACTGAACTCAGTAGGAGTTGTGATTGCTCAGCATATCACTGAAAAAAGTCCTCTGAAATTACCTTAAATCACACAATTATCCCCTCACCTCTCGCTCTGTCTCTGGCAGTCATGGAAAGAGGAATAAGTTTCTCCACAGGCAGTTCTGCTGCGGTCAAGTTCTCAGCCTGGTGGTTGTGAACAAATGTCAAAAGCAGTGCATTCCCCGCTTTGGGGGCCAGTGATGTTCCCGGCAGCAGTCCGGCTTACCCAGGGCAGCAGAACCGGGGTAAAAACATGAGAAAGAGTTGAAACCTTATTTACAGCAGCATTCCATATCCACTTCTCATCTAGCTTAAAATGCCTTCATCTCTTTCCTTTATCCCCTTCTGTATGTTTCTGCCCAATGCCCATTGCCCTAAACAGTAGAGAGTCATTGTGCCACAGCGTACAGAATATATTCTGGCAGCTTTTATGAGTCCAATAGTGCACATTGTATGGCCTTCACTAAAACTTAGCAAGTTTCTCACTGTTTAAAATCTGTTTATGGCTGAAGAGAAATGCATTTATTATGTATCTTTCCCTTGTACAATCTGTACCTGTAGTTAAGTGCATTAAACCAGCACTAAATGTATGGAGGTCTGTTAAACAATAACACGAGGTTAAAGGCTGAGTGCTTATGCTTAACAAACCATTCTGAAAGACGCTCATGATTAAAGCTATTTACAATTACACTTTTCATTACTAATGGAAAAACTAAGAAGAAAAATACCCGTGCCTCCCACCTTGTCACTATGAAGTCAGCAGAGGCAGAAGAAAATCAAAATTTCCTTTGAATTTGAGCACAATTAAGAGTTTACAGTGCAGATCAAGTCACCTTTCATTTTGCACAGGAACTGTTTTAGAAGAGCCTTGTGGGTTTGATTCTGCATCTTGTACCAGTCTGAAGCCACTGCCAGCTCCCTGAATTGAGAGTTGGGCTGCTATCTACTGGGGGAGGGTTCCTAGCAGCAACATGCCAGTGTCCTTTGCAGACAATTCATAAAGAATGGCTTTGAAACCCAAATCTGGATCTGAATTTGGTTCAAATGCAGCTGAAGCTAGGATCCCACTTTGAGCATGTGTCCCTTTGGAAAGTAACCAAAGTGCCTGATTTGTAAGCACTCCTCTCTGGCCCCAGCGACTGTGCTCAGCAGCTCTTGAAAATCAGGCCACAGTGATTTTTTGCACCCCATAACAACATATAACACAAGTCAATCAGTCACAGGTTTTTGTTCTTTTCTTCTTCTTTTTTTCCTTAAGAGTAAAAGCTGGATTTTCTCTTCTTGCTGTACATGTAACAAACTGATGCACCAGCACTACCCTACATAAATAAACAACCATTATCAAGAGTATTTAAGATGCCTTAAACCCTTATGCAATATAAGAAGGTAATTGCAGTGAGCCTGCTATGCTATGTGCTACGTCCTGAAGAGTTTCCACTCACAATGGTGCCTACAATGTGCTGAGTGGAGAAAGCATTTGCACAGGGTTTTTTGGCTTTGTGGTGTTTGAGTATTTTTAACTGTTCTGCATTTTCTCCTAGGACTCTTTCTTTGCTGAAGTTATGGAACCAGGAAGCAACTTTGACTTTCAAAAATATTTCTTAAGCGCGACTCGCCGGAATGAAACCTCTCGGCAAAAACATGCTAACAAGGAGCCAAACGTAGCGGCAAACAAATTGAACGATATTCCAGAAGCACCACAAGAGGTCAAAAAGTACCTTCGAGATGTAGCAGTAGAAAATATGGAGAGAATAAAAACGGCAGAGATAAAGACGGAAAACCAAAGTAATGATGCAGACAGAGCAAGCCGTAAACGGAAATCAGAAACCAATGAAAAACTCACTGAGAAGAAAGAAGCGGTGATGTTAGAGCCTGGCAATCGGCTAATCCCGGCTCCTCTGTCTCACATTCCTCTAAAAATCCTGCTGGACATCGAAACGGAATTGGTCTACACTGACGAGGAGGAGATTTCCTTCGAGTTCGCTGAGGTGGCGATGCCTGCAGGCCGCCGATCAGCGCACCGTGGCTGTGCCACCGCTGCCATGAGCGTGCCGAGTGTGCCACGGGTCGACAAGCAGCTGCAGGTGGCCCTGTGGGATGCCAGCGATCGCTACAGGCAGAAGAACTACGCGGTGGCAGCAGCTCAGTTCGCCACGGCGCTGGAGGTACGAGGTGCTAGGGAGATCACAGTGTAAATGAGAGGCTGTAATCGTGCCGATTGGGTGTCACTGTATCAAAAGGAACAAGGTGCACAAGCCTGGAATGCACCTGGTTTAATACAAATCCTGAGATGCAATTTCATGAGCAATCTGACAATTAAGACCTATAAATAAATCATAGCAGGTGAGGAGGCGGCACTGGACTGAACCAAAAAAAAAACCACCCTCGGGTGATTTTTGTTTTAATCTAGGCCTTTAACTCTAGTTATACTTTATGAAGGAAATATAAAACATATAGGGAGGAGAAAATAAATAAATAAATAAATAAATAAATAAATAAAAGCTCTTCTTTTTAATCCCATCTCTATTAGGGTCAAACAATGTCTCCATAATCAGGAGAGTTCCCACCACCATATGAGTTCCCACAGTATCCCAGCTATCCATGCACTACTGGATGAAATGTTTAACCCTTTGTTTAAAGAAAAGGTCTGGTTTTGCTCCTTTTTTCCCTACGGCAATTCCATCATCCACTTCCATCATCCATTTCCCTCTTTTTCCCTAAAGCCAATAGATGGCCACTAGATCTGTACAGAAATCCTTTTATTTCTACATGAGAAAGGACCAGTCCAGCAGTGAGCAACCCCTCTGGACTCAGCCAGCTTTTTCTACTGCAGCTGAGAACTAAAATCTGTTTTGTTTTGTTTTGTTTTCATGGAAAGAAGGATCTCTTGGCTGCCGCAGACACTACAGAAATAATATGACCTTGGCCATGGTCTTTGAAACTAGATCAAAGATTTTCATGACTTTCTATCTTTAAGTGCTCTAACTTGAGCTGTCCTAAATTGATCTGTCCTTCAATAAGTGATGTTTCTATGTTTGCAAAAGCAGAGCTCTTTCCAATTTCAGGCTGAGCCTCCAGAAAGGAGGCATCTGAAAACCTTTGACACTTTCAAAAATCTTAGCCAGCCTTGAATTTTATCAGTATAACGTGAGAAGAAAAGAATAAAAGAGGGAGTTCCCAGGACTCTGGCAAGGTTGCAATTAATTCTGTGAGGGGAGGGAGGGAAAGGAGGTGCAGGAACCCCTGACAGGTGGGTCGCAGTTGCATCCACCAGCCTCCTGTTTCCTGGAAGCCAGAGAGAGCAGCATTTACAGTAAAACTGATTGTCCAAAGTTGTATCATTATTCCCAGATTTCTCTAGTGCTGCTAATCTCAGTTAATTATATTGGAAATCCCTTGCATTATGACCATGTAATTCATAATGTGCCAGGAGAAGTCATGGTTCATAATAATCGCATAATGGGCAAGGACTTAGATGTAATCAGATTTTAGTTACCCTGTCGTGTTTCCATAATGCTGCTATAAAACTGACATAATCACAAAAAAGCACCAGTTATTTAAACTTTATCAGATTGACATCCAGTATCTTTCTCTCTCTCCCTCTCTTTTTTTAAACAATGTAAGATTACAAAAATTGGATTACAATTGCTGGGAACAGACTATGATAAACTGTTTGCTTGTGTGCAGAATGAAATTTAACAGTGGCATCAGACTCTCAATTTTTAGTAAAGTGAAACCTGTTAAATAGTAGCACTCTGCAGCCAAAGGCTGCTTTCAAAGAGGTAGCATCAGAGCATTTTGAAAACCGTATCTCCAAGAGCATAGCTGTCTAATAAACCTTGAAAGATGCTCTGTATTTTCACAATTAACCCAGTCACTAACATTTACTGCGTGATGAGGGCTTGACTTTTTCCATGATACAGGATGCAAAAAATCACTCTTTATTAGCTGTAAGGATTTTAGAGGCCAGTGTCTCTTTATTTTAAAAAAGTAAAAAATAAAGAGAGACACTTTAAACACTTCACAGAAACACAATTGGTGATTAGAATAGATGACTTGCAAGCTGCCCTTTTAGGGTTCTCCCTAATATTATATCGCCACCATGACCCCAATCACTTCAGCTATGCACTTGACATCCTGAAAAAGGGTCCAACTGTACTTGTTTCAGAGCCATACCGCCAAATTTAATCCAAGAGTATTTGTAAAACATTCAAGGTTTACTGTTGACAAGCAAATATTCCTTCTTCTTTTCTTTTTTTTTTTTCTATAATACTGAAGACATTTTATTTTAAAACAATAAGTATTATAGCAGTGAGTGAGAAAAATTAGAAAGTGACATCCTTTTTAGTTTAGGGTTTTTTGTTTTTTCCCTTCATTCAGAAGTGATCTTTGATGGGGACAAAAGCACTTTTCAGTTGAGAGGAAAGGAGTACTTGTCTGCTCCTAAAGGGAAACGGAAAGGCCAGCTAATAGACATCCTGGTGAAAGAATAAACCGAGATTAAATAATTCCTTCCTGGGACTGTGGACAGAGTGACTGGGAAACCACAGAATTGTAAGGCGGAGGCTTCTGAAACAGTCTCATAATCCAACCCTCCCCAGAAGAACAACAAGCTCAGAACATCTCTGAAAGACATTTCTGTTCTCTGTTTCTAAAAAATATCCAGTGAGAGGGACTTCACATCTATTTCAGCAAGATGATAGAAGGTTTTTTTCCAAATCTCCCATACTGCTAAATAGCCGATAACTTTTTGTATCCTTATTTGTCATGAAAAGCAATTAACCATCCTATTCTCTCTGTACTTGCAACCTCTTAGCAAATCTATTTTCAGTTTCCTCTAAATTAAATAGATTCAGTCCTCTTATTATTTTCTCCCAGGTCATGTTTTCTAAACCTGTATATCATTTTTGTTGCTTTTCTCTGCATCGGCTCCAATTCATCTGTTTGTTCAGATATAGACAAATTGGAGATAATGCAGAGAAAACCAGGAAACTTAAACTGCTGAGATTGAAACTGTGCTTGTTTTACCCACGGCTCCTTGATGAAACACACAAAAATTCCTCTGCATTTCATGTGGGTGAAGAGAACTGTGATATGTAACAAGCTCAAAGGTCAGGAAATTCAAAGTTATAGTTTCTAGTGCAAAATGTTTACAGGTATTTTTCACTTTTAAGGAACTCAAGGTTTTAGTCTGACATTACAACATTTTGAGTTAGAGACCCTGATCCAGAAAAGCATGTGTATGGCCTTACATTTCAATAGTATCACTAAAGCATGCTACCTTACCTACTGCAAATATTGGATGTTTCTTATCTCTTTTTCAAGCTAAAATGTCTTTTCTAGTTCTACCTATATATTCATGTGGCATTATCATTCCTTAGACCATGTTGTTTTTCAGATATGCAAATAAAAGGCAGTTCTGAATGTCTAGCACTAGAATTGTTGGATTTCAGAAGAGAAAATTGAAATGCTTGTTTAATTTAGAGACTTTTATATGTTGGACAGCATGCTGCTGATTACTACAGACGTCAGGAAGGCAGTGTTATCAAGAGAAGAATTGGTGTCTTCTTACTATTTCTGCACTATTTAGCTACCATTAAATTAATCAGAAGGGACTTAGTGTTAGTCAGCTGCATTATAGTTGGCCTGGGAGAGTTAAAAATAATGCTCCCTTGGAGAACTCTCACCATTAGAGCTTAAGAATTAAATACTTTCTGTTGCTAGTGAGGAAAAGAGCTGAAGAAATTGGGGCAATAGTCTTTGGTCTGCCACCTCTGAGCTCAGTAATGCAGTATATTATGCAGACTACATTGAGAAACACTGTAAATTTCCCTAAATTTTTGGCATCCATCTGTTGGAACATAGGAAAATAAGACTTGAACATCTGGACTGGGATATGAAGGGTATGAGAAATGACTCTCTAGCTTAAAACCTCAATGGAAAGCATATACTTTAACAGATCTATAAAATATACTTTTATACATATTATATATACATGTATATATAAATATATGTATACATGTATATATATAAATGTATATATACATTTTTATACATATACTTTTACAGATCTATAAAATCTCTAGCCAATTATTAACAGCTTAGCTAGGAAATAACATTAAACCTGTATAGGGATTGAAAGATCTTGTCTCATGCTAATCTCCTAATATCGGGGAGTATAAAAGACTTCAGAAATATCAGCCTGTTTAAAACCTGCACAAATTTAATTCCAGACCCTGTTGTTCTGCAAATAACCCTCCCCGGTGATTAAAAAATAAATGAGACAGGTTTGTGACTGCTGGGCCCAGAAAGCAGTCCACAGTGCCTCAGCACACAGCGTTCGGTGCGGTGTCTCAGAGACACAAAGCACATCCCACGTGTGAGGTGAAGGCCTCAAACAGCGTGTGGTTAATTCACAAGAGTGCTGTTGTGGAGCCTTCCACAAGCTGGAACGCCTCCATCTCCCACAGATGGCTACTGTGGGCACCGTTCCTATGGCAGTGAGCTAAACGTTAGTGCCATCTTTTTTCACGTACCTTGAGTTTTCAGATTAACCTTTCCCGTGGCTCATTGCCTCGTGATTCACGGCTTGCCGTGTCAAGACCACACTCCCTCTTCCAGGCAACAATATCTGCAAAAAGCAAATATTTTGAAAGAGGCCATGGCATCCGTGCCTTGTCAGCATAATTACATACCAGTAAAGAGTTAGACAGTATGGTTCAACTGAGTCTTCTATCAATGTCTCAATATGAGAAGCAAAAGATAAGTATTTCTTCTACAAATACCTACATGAGAAGAGGTTCACCTCAAGTAGTGAATAGAAAAGCTCAGGTGGCTTTCTTAGAGGCCCTGCTGCAGTCCAGGGAGCACCACATCATCGAGATATTTGGATATCTCCCCACTGAGACCATTGCATCAGTGCCAGGTGCTCCAGAACGACCATGGTACAGCCACATTTCTGTGCTCCCCACCCCAGTCTCCTGTTTCAGGTGGATCTTAGCATCCAGGAAACCATCACTGTACAATCCCTTGCTTTAAGAAGCATGGGGACTAAAATTACTGGTCATCCACTGGGATGAAAAAAAAAAAGGGAGAATATGTGACTTTTGATATTTTTCATTACCCCCTTTCACCAAGACAAGCTGTACAAGGACTAGACATATTT